TTTTTTTTTTTTTTCCTTTTTTTTTTCTCCTTTTTTTTTTTTTTTGTGATGAGACTTAAATTTGGTTTGGTTTGACTTGGTTTGGAACGGTGTTGTTTGAATATTGTTGCTAGGCCTCCACTAAATAAGCAAGGCCCGCCCTGAACTTTTCAGGACCCAAAGCGAACTTTCAAGTGGAGACTCTTGATATTTCACACCCTAAAAAAAATGGTTAATGAAATGGTAAATATTCACAATTTTTTTTTTTTTTTAAATTTTCTAGTATCCACTCAAAATTTGTTGAATATAATTACTAAAATATAAAGAAATTATTACAAAGACTGCAAAAAAAAAAAATCCGACTTTGTTCCTTTATTATTTAGCTAAATTCAATTTACAAGTAAAACAAAATACAAAGCTATAATACCAAAAATAATTTATCCAAACGTAGCAAAGTGATTTCTCATTTCATGGCAAAGCACAAAGAGAAGAATTTTGAAATGTAGCAATGATACATCCTCTAATTTTTGAATTTTAATTGAGCTCTAATGATAGGGTAAATCAAAAAAAAAAAATCAAAATCAAAACATCATATCATAATAGGGTCTAATCCCATTAAAACTCATTAGAACTCTTTTATTAAAATTTCCAATCATTTTCTTTTGGAATGTCATTGTTGACGTATTTGCTGATAGTCGGCCCTCTCTTATTAAGAAGAAAAATTTTGGCTTTAGCCTTTGGTTTGGATCCTTTTGTCTTTAGTTTGGGCCTTTGCAGTCATATTTCAATGTATAAGTGCTGCAAAATAATTGGGCCCTAATTTTGAGTTATTTTCTGGGGTTCAAAGCGGTTGCTTTGTTGGCCAATGTCCCGAGCCGGTCCTGTAAATAAGATGCTAAACAATGATAAAAAAAAAATTATTGAATGGATACGCTAGCTTATGTCCCGAGCCGGTCTTGTAAATAAGATGCTAGACAATGATAAAAAAAATTAAAAAACTAAAAAAAAATTAAAAATTATTGAATGGATATGCAGTCACATAATTTTCATAATTCATATGATAATTTCTGGCCCGACAAAAATGAAGTTAGCTTGGCTGTGTGGGCTGGAGGACTGTGTCATCAGAAGGGATCATCGCCTGATTAGATCCATTTTTGAACGGTAAGATTGCTCCTGCGTGTTTGAAGATATTTTGGGAGATTGTAGTGAGTTATTTATTTTGCATGATGTGGGAAGCGAACGGCTCTCGATGAATGATGTGGTGTGAACCCTTGAATTTGAGTTGGAGTTACAGGAGAGGGGTGGACGGAATCAAACTTGATGGTGCTCGCGAAGAATTTGAGGACGAAAAAGCCCTTTTGTTCAATGATGGAATTGAGATGATCAAAAATATTTGAGACCCCCTTTCTCTTCCACCTCCTTTGACCCCTTTTCCTTGGCCAATTTTTTTTTTAATATTTTTTTTCTTTTCCTTCTCCTTCAATCACCACTCGCCACGTGTGTGTGAGGTGATGGGGGTGGTGATTGGAGGGGTCTCCGTCAATGCTCTTGAGATGATTGAGAATAATGGTGGACAGGTGCTGAACAGCGTGATGACAATGACGAGCAATAGTGGCATGAGGAGCATTTAGATGGTGTTTGGCATATAGGTATAGCTAGAAAGGTTATAATATTTTATTATGAGTAATAATACTCCAGAGGGCGCTAAATTTATTATACATTTATTTATAATATTTCAATCATCTCATATTTTTTATAAACACTTTAAATTCGCATAAAAAAAAATAGGCCGGTTCGATAATTATAATTAATTCATTTTATTACATTTATCATCAAAAAAATATGATTTATTTTTTTGTCGTCTATTTCTTTTTCTTTTTTTTTATTTATAAAAAATGCAGTAAATTGCATTAGTTACAATTATCGAATCAATCAATTTTTTTATGTGTATGAAATACACGAACTATGCAACAAAATAAATAGTTTAGATCAACGGGGTCTGTGATAGATCTCATGGGCCAGAACAATGCCCTCCAATCCAGAGTTCGGACTAGAGGGGATCCTCCTACTACAAACTCACCTTTATCAAATTAGAAATTACTCAGAAATTAATCTTCATCACATCCTACATGGATCCCATACTATACAAATTAATCTTCAAACTTCCTTTATTATTGTTATTAATTGATTATGTCACATGCATGTGAGTGATGACTTACGCCTTTTTTGGTGAGAATTTTTTTTTACTAAAATAGTTAAAAAATTATAATATCACATTTTATATATTAATTTATTAGTTTTTTTTTCACAATTATCTATTTAACTAAAAAAAATTATTCTAAATATACTAATTTTTTTCATTATAAAAAAATACATAAATTAAAAAATGACTAAACAAAGCTTCCAGAAATTTTAATGCCTACCCTAACAGCTCGTTTGTTTTGAAGGATAACTCATGGGATTGGACTATTAATCCGGAGGGATTAATAGTCCGTTGTTTGGTATGGATTTTTTGGTCCGGATTAATAATCCCTCCGGACTATTAATCCGGAATTCACTGGCTTATTGTATCCCTGGGGGGGGGCCTGGGACAGAATCTATGGGATAATGTATCCCATGGGATTGGCTAGCTTTATTACATCTTTGACCCTCTCATCTTTCTTTTAGCTTTTCCCATTTTGCTTTCACTGCAGCAGATTCATTTCACTGTAGGAGCAAGAGCTTCATTTCATCTTGAATCTTCGATCTGTTGAACCTTTGCACCTGATCTTCATTCAGGTTTGAAACTCATTCTATTTATTTTTTGCTGAGCTTCATTCTATTAATTTTTAGCAACTTCATGCTATTTATTTTCAGCAGATTTTTTCCAAATTTTTTCCAGATTTTTTGATCTTTTAGTTATTCCAGATTTTTTTTTTCCAGATCTGTAAACTTTAGCTTTGTTGGTTGATTTCTTTGTTTTATTGATTTATGTATCTTTACCTTGGATCTATGTAGATGGCAAGTATACAAAAGAGAAATCCATTCAGTTTAGATCTATAACATTTCATCTTTTTTTTTGCTTTGTTTTTTGTTTATACAAAGAAAATCCATGCTCTGTTTTTTCTAAATCCATGCTCTGTTTTTTCCCACATTTGATGTGCAGCAGCACCATCCATTCTTTCCTACAAATTTCACATGCTAAACAAATCTAGCATGAGTCCAAGTACAGTGAGAATTAGTGGGTTGGGATTGGTTGATTCTTTGCACAAATCTAAGCTTGAGTCCAAGTTTAGCTTAAAGAATTTTTCAGAATAAAATTTTACTCTGTATAAAAGTAAAATTTACTCTCTGAAACTAAAAGTAAAATTTTACTTTGTATGAAAGTAAAACTTTACTCTGTATGAAAGTAAAATTTTACTCTGTATAAAAGTAAAATTTTACATTCTGAAACTAAAAGTAAAATTTTACTCTGTATGAAAGTAAAATTTTACTCTGTATAAAAGTAAAATTTTACATTCTGAAACTAAACGTAAAATTTTACTCTGTATGAAAGTAAAACTTTACTCTGTATGAAAGTAAAATTTTACTCTGTATAAAATTAAAATTTTACATTCTGAAACTAAAAGTAAAATTTTACATTCTGAAACTAAAAGTAAAATTTTACTCTGTATGAAAGTAAAATTTTACTCTGTATGAAAGTAAAATTTTACTCTGAATAAGAGTAAAATGTTACACTCTGAAACTAAAAGTAAAATTTTACTCTGTATAAAAGTAAAATTTTACTCTAGTTCTACCTTGTCTTGATCTACTAGAATTACGCATGAAGTCAAAAAAATTTAATATTTGGTGCATTCATGGTATTAATTATACTTAATAAAGTAAAAAAAAAAATTAAACATCTCAATTACAAATTAAAATAAATTTATGTAATATTTATTAATATTCTATTTATTTAATATTTTAAAAGTTATAGTAAACAAATTAAATAAAATTTATAATTTAGATTTAATATTCTTATTATTTAGTAAATAATTCAAAAGGGCAAAATAGTCTTTTGAATATTTATCCTTCTCCATAATATCCCAAACAAACATGGGATTCAATAGAATAGTCCAATCCAGACCTCTAATCCCATGACTAAATAAACATAGGATACAAATCTAGTCCGACCAAATAGTCCAGGGACAATGTATCCCAGGACTAACAGTCCGATGGATTACAATCCCTCCTTATCCAGTCCGTCCAAACAAACGCACCCTAAGAGTAACCAATAACCATGCATTCATGCTGTTTCGTAAGAAAGCAAAATAAAATAAATAAGTTATAATTATTTGATTAATTTAATTTTTTTATATAAATAATATACATAAATAGCTCCACAATATGAACAATTTAAATTATTAATGTTAGAATGGTTGAAAAAAAATATGAGAATTGTGTATCTGTATAATAATATTGAATAGAATACAATAGGTGAGCTTGTATTTATAGGTTGAACACAAACCTAGACAAGTATAGAAGGAGATAAAGATAGAGAGAGATAGAGATACAAGGAGATAGAGATAGAGAGATATCTACAATACAAGAAGATAAATCTAAATCTAATATAAATCTAATATATACATTAACAACCCCTCTTAAACTCAAGGTGGGTAAGCATCAACCAACTTGAGTTTGGAAACTAGATCAAAGAAACGACTAGGAGGATGAGCCTCAGTGAAAATATCAGCAAGTTGATCAGCAGAAGAAATATAAAGAAGATGAGCAATGCTGCGTGTAACATGTTGTTAAATGAAATGACAATCAATCTCAATTTGTTTGGTACAATCATGGAAGACATAATTGTGAGCAATCTGAATGGCACTTTGATTGTCACAATCGAGAGAGGTGGCACCAGGGGAAGAAACACCCATATCAGCAAGGAGCCATCGAAGCCATAAAAGTTCCTAAGTAGTGTCAGAAAGAGCGCAGTATTCAGCTTTAGTACTAGAGCGACTAGTGAGGGATTGTTTTTTGCTGTGCCAAGTAAGAAGAGAATCTCATAAGAAGAAACAGAAACCCGTGGTGAAGCATCGATCAGTAGGATTCCCAGCCCAATTAGCATCAGAAAAGGCACGAAGCTCGAGAGAAGAGTAAGCAGAGTAGTGGAGTCCATGGAACATAGTGCCTTTAAGGTAGCGAAGTATGCGAAGTGGAGCAGTGTAATGCGGAGTGCAGGGAGCCGACATGTACTGACTAACAAGATGGACAACATAAGCAATGTCAGGATGAGTCACGGTGAGATAGACAAGACTACCGACCAACTGGTGATAAAGAGTAGCATCAGAGAGAAGATCCTCATCTAGAGAAGTGAGACGAGTTTGAGGATCAACGGGAGTAGAGGTAGTTTTGTAATCGGTAAAACCAACACGTGCTAGAAGATCGGATGCATATTTGGCTTGTGACAAATAGTGATCATCGGAATCATGAGAGATTTCAAGCCCTAAGAAATAATTAAGAGTACCATGGTCTTTCATCTCAAACTGACGATTGAGAAATTGTTTGAGGCTAAGAATATCAACCATATCATCACCTGTGATAATCATATCATCTACATAAAGAAGAAGAAAAGTGGTGCCATGAGGAGTGGTCCGAACAAATAGGGCGTAGTCATATGAGTTGGAGGTGAAGCTGAAGTCATGGATGGTATAACTGAATTTTGCAAACCAAGCTCATGGGGCTTGCTTGAGACCATAAAGAGCACGCTGTAGTTTGCAAACCTTATTAGCCGGATAAGCAAACCCATGGGGAGGTTGCATGTAGACTTCCTCAAGAAGATCACCATTACGGAAGGCATTTTTTACATCCATCTAAAAGATATCCCAGTGGCGAGTAGCGGCAACAGCAAGTAAGCTATGCACAGAGGTAAGCTAAGCAACCGAAGCGAAAGTCTCCTCATAATCAATGCCATATTCCTGGGTAAAGCCCTTTGTAACAAAACGGGCTTTGTAGTGCTTAATAGAGTCGTCAGAATGGGCCTTGATCTTGTATACCCATCTGTAGCCAATCGCAGTCTTTCCAGGAGGAAGATCAATTACATCCCAGGTATGAGTTTTGTCTAAAGCCTATAATTCATCAGTCATAGCTTGCTGCCAAAGAGGATTAGTACAAGCCTCATGATAAGAGGTAGGTTCATAAGTAAAAAAGGCAGTAGACTCGACAATATAATCACGAAGATGAACAGGTGGTTGAGTTAGCCAATGAGGACGACCGATGGGAGGAGGATCTGGTAGGGTGATAGGAGACTTAACGGGACCATCAGAGGGAGCAGTCGTGACAGGATCAGGTGCAGGCAAAGGCATCTCTAGAGAGGAGGAACCTGCATCAAAGGCATTAGAGAACAGATCGATAGAAGGATTAGTAAACAGAATGGAAATAGAGGATGATGATAAGTGGAACGAGGACAAGGATGAAAACATTTTATGCTCCTAGAAAATCACATGATGAGAGACACGAAGACGTTTAGAGATAAGATTCCAGCAACGATAGCCTTTATGTTCAATACCATACCCAAGAAAGCAACAAAGACGAGAATGGGGTTCAAGTTTGATGTGTTGACGAGGTTGGAGGAGAACAAAGCATGCAGACCCAACAACCCCAAGATTTGTGTATGGAGGACTAGCGCCATATAAATGTGCATAAAGAATTTGGTTACGGATAGTAAGAGTGGGAACACAATTAATAGTATAAACAACAGTAAGAGCAGCTTCCCCCCAAAAAATATTCAAGACATGAGGAAGAGAAAAGAAGGGCTCGAGTAATGTCAAGAATATGCCTATGTTTCCGTTCAGCACGACCATTTTGTTGGGACGTGCCAGCATAGAAACGATGAGGCTGAGTATCGTGACGCTTAAAGAAGGAGAGAAAGTCAAGATCCCTATATTCCATAGCATTATCAGATTGAAAAATTTTAATGGTTTTAGAAAATTGGGTTTGGATCATGCTTGCAAAATTGTAATAAAGTTGTTTGAGCTCTGATAGACGTTTCATAAGAAACAACCATGTTAAACGTGAAAAATCATTAACAAAGACAACAAAGTAACGTGATCCCCTCATAGTGGTAGTAGGTGATGGTCCCCAAATATCAGAATCTATAAGATCAAATGGTGCATGTGAAACATAAGTACTTGCATTAAATGATAAAGCAGGTTGTTTTGCAAGTTGACAAGATAATCAATCCAAAGTATCGGGAATGACATGACCTAACTGACCATTAGAAACTAAAGATTTTAATCGACTAACAAAAATATATCCTAAACAACAATGCCAAATATTAAAAGGAGACACGCTGGAAGTAGATGTAGGAGCAATTATCGGGGTGGAGTCTGGAACATGAAGATAAACGAGCTCATAGAGACGTTCATGCTTACGGCCGATCCCAAGAGTCTGTCCCTTCTGAGGGTCCTGTACCAAACAACCATTAGTAAAAAATGTGACAGTTAGACCAAGGTCAAATAATTGACTAATAGAAATAAGATTTAAAGTGAGAGCATGAATAAGATAAACATTTGATAAGGATAGATGAGAGGTGGAAATAGAACCAATATGACTTACAGACATAAGAGAACCATCAGCAGTATGAATGTAGGAAATATGAGGAGAAGAAGGAATAGAAAGAAATATAGTAGAACTAGAAGTCATATGATTGCAACATGCTGAGTCAAAATACCAGGAAAATATACCTGAAGTCACAGACAGAGCAGTAGAAAGAGGTGTACCAGAGGTGATGAGAAACTGTTTGAACATAGCTTCAACATCAGTTTGGGAAAAGACAGGAGTGGCTGGATCTAAAGGCTCAGAAAATTCCTCAGAGGTAGCAGCAGCACTGCGATGAGCAGACAAAGATCTAGACTGATTCCCGGGACGTTGTGAACGACCTCGTGATAAATTCCCACGAGTAGTAGATAAGCGGTCTGGATTGCGAAAACAATCTTACTGTAGATGACCCGGACTAATCTTGTTGCAGTACCGACAGGATTTGACTAGGCAATGAAGCAGAAGATGAGTAGAAGAAAGGCCTCGATTCTGACAATAATTGTAAGTAGTGGGCCGCTGGGTAGTTGGTGTAGAGGAACTTAGTGATTAGGGAGTGGCAAGAACTATATCCACATGATGAGTCTTCAGAGGGCCAAGACGAGTCTCCTCAGATAATAACTCAAAAATAGCTTGCTCAAGAGTGGGCAATGGAGTGCGATGAAATAGAGATATACGCATGGGCTGAAACTGGATAGTGAGAGCCATGACAAACTGAACCAATCGTTGGTGATTACGATACTGAGTGAATAAAGTAGCATCTTTAATATGAGGCCAGGCAGGTTCAGAGAAAGTGAGCTGGTCCCAACTAGAATATATCTAAGAAAGAAAATCATTAACAGACTGACCAGGCTCTTGACGCAGGCGATGAAGTTGACTTTGAAGCTGATACTGATGAGCAAGACCAGTAGTTTGATAACGTTCTGTCAAAAAATCCCAAATGTCTTTGGCAGGAGTAGTCACGGAGTCAAGTTGAAAACGACCAAATTGTAAACTAATAGAGACGACAAAAGTATTCCGAAGCCAAATTATGATTTGGTAATTCTTATTGTCCCAGTCCTCCAAACGGTCTGCATATGTGGCAGCTGGTTCATGAACTTCTTTCACTAGTTGATCCACATCCCCAATGATAATGCGCCAGAGTTTTTTCCCTTTCAGAAAATCGGACATGGCTTGGGCCCATAACACATAGTTGGAGTCGTCAAGGATAACAAAGATTGGATGTGAAGCATCATGACGATCCATAACGGGGTTTGGTGAAGAAAAATAGAGAAAAACAGTGCTATAGGAGCAAAAATCAGCAAAACAGGGCGTACTAGTGAGTTCAGAAGGTCGAAAATAGCTGGGAAATGGATCTGGTGTGCAGAGATGACGTCAACAGGGCTTAGATGACATCAGCAAGGGGTGCGGCACACAATAGCAGAGAGGGGACACGACGCATAATATCAGCGAGGACGTATGGTGCACCGTAGCGGAAATGGCGCACGTAGGTGCATAGTAGCAGGACGGCGCACGGGGGTGCACGGTAGCTGGACAGCGCACGCGGGTGCACGGTAGCAGGATGGCGCACGCGGGTGCACAGAGAGGTACGTGTGAGAGTGGAGGTAGAAGATTGGATACGCTGACGAGAAAATAGGCGCGTGAGGGCTCGTGCGGAGGATTTTGGCGACTAGCCTGGTGGCGTTGGAACCAGGGCACAATTCTGAGCACTTTGATGAAAAATTTATAAAATTTTGGTCAAAAATGATGATGAAACAATGACGAAATAGTGTTGTGGAACAAAGAATGGTGTATTGATGAAATAGAAGAGAGATGCTATAATACCACTGTGTACGGGCAATGAGCAGGAGAAAAGATGAGCTAGGATTGAAGACCTAAGCTCTGATACCATGTTAGAATGGTCGAAAGAAATGTGAGAACTGTGTATCTGTATAATAATATTGCATAGAATACAATAAGTGAGTCTGTACTTATAGGCTGAACACAAATCTAAATAAGTATAGAAAGAGATAGAGATAGAGAAAGATAGAGATACAAGGAGATAGAGATAGAGAGAGATATCTACAATACAAGAAGATAAATATAAATCTAAATCTAATATATACATTAACAATTAATATAAAATTTATGATAAGTCTAATAAACCCGAACAACATTATCTAGTCCAAATAGTGGATTAAAAGCAATCCCAATAATCCTATAATATTTCCCAAATAATTAAAAAAGATTTGAATCATAATCCATTAATTTATATGAAATCCACGTGAGACCCACATAAAAAAATCACAATAACTTGCTTATGCGTTTGCCACACATATACATGAACTAATCTTTCATCCAAAATTATTTTCCCTTTCCCTTTTCCTTAACCTTGGCGGCATCTAGTGTCCTTGGGTTATTCATGTAACTTGTGCAACACTAGTTCATTTCTTCTTGTTTTTTGGCTACAACAAATGAAGCTACTTCCTCATTATTGCATGAAGGAGCCACAATGCATATGCCCAGTTTGATAAAACTGAATTTTGTAATCAGTTTATTTCTTATGTTTAGGTTTTGAAAATGTGTTAACTTATGCTTTGTTATTGTGTTTTAGCAATGTTTGTTGTTTGATAAAAAAGAAAAATTCGAATAAATTTTTCCTACAATATAGATTTTTTTTTTTAAAGAACTATCACGTTAAGTTTATATATATTAAAAAAATAAAAATATTATTTATTTTTATTGCACTACTAAGTGAGATCTTAATTAGTGGCGGGAGAGACTTTAGAGTTGTTTTTAGTGTTGACAAAGTATATAAAATGTATTAAGCCTTCGTTTGGGATGTGGGTTAACTTTTTGATTTTCTAACTTTTTGTCTATTTTAGCCTAGAGCTAAAAAGTCTCGTTTGAGATAAGCTTTTTGGCCTTTATGACTTATAGCGATTCAGGTTTTGACCTAACCTTTATTGCATTTCGGGCTTGGGTTTCGTGATTTAGTGTTGTTGTTCATCTATTTTCCCCTTGTTTTCCTTTAAGTTTGTCTTTTGGATTGTTATGGTTGTGTTTGGGGCAGGTTGGTTGCTTGATTTCCAAACTCTTGTTGCCCAGATTTTTGCTCCTTCGCTCGAGCAGCACTTCTTGCGCTCGAGCGGGTTTTGCAAACTCTCAGTACTTTTACAGGTCTGTAAAACTATAGGGAGAGTGTATTCTACACCCAAGCAGGTCTTTCTGTGCTCGAGCGGGCTTAACTCGAGCGGTTGGTCTATTGCCTGCAAAACTACTGGATGCGTGTTTTCTACGCTTGAGCATCACTTCTTGCGCTCGAGCGGTGAGCGTCTTTTTCATTGTGTCTTGGCGTTCGAATAGAACAACTCATTGTGTCTGACGCTCGAGCGTCACTTCTTGCGCTCGAGCGGACTGTGCGTATATCAGTTCATAGCAACACCTTTTTACATCACTTTTTCACATCTTTTTCACCAAAATCATAGATTGAGACCCTCTCTCTCTAAAACACTTTCTCTCTCTACATTTTCACCTAGTTCTAGTGATATCTCTACTCACTTGCCTTTGTTAAAATGTTAGAGCATCTCAAGGGCTACATTTTGATCCGATTAAAGCTTGGTTTCGGTGTCCTTGAAGTTTCTCCATATCTCCCTTTGGTCTTCTAAGCTTGAGGTAGGGATTTTCTACACATTGTTATGGTTTTTAACTTAGTTATTGGTTATTGTATAACAATGGTGAGTTTTGGGAGTATTTTGGACAAACCTAGGGTTTGGGATGTAAAATCAAAAGAGGGGTTTCTAGTGAATGTGATATAAATGGTCATGGGATTTGAAAATGAGGTATATTATGTCGCAATTGTTGACTTTGGCATTTGGGTTGACATTTGGGAAAGAGGGAAGTTAACCTAAAATGCGGCAAATATTTATTTTGTATAAATAAATGAAATTGGTATTATAAATATGAAATTGGATGAATGTTGATGTAAATGATGGAGTTGGATATGCATTACCTCACACTTTTGAAAATTTGAATAAATTATATGTCTTGTGATTGAATATCTGTTTAGAAATATCTGTATTAGGCTATCGGTGGAGGATAATTATGATTATTGTAGAAATTACATGAGGATTAGATGAATTAAAACTAATCTCTTGTTGGTTGTCATTGAATATGACTATGTTTTAAATACATTGTATATGTATGATTGGTTGAAAGGAGAAAGGGGATGTGCTCCATGTTTGGGAGGAGATAGGGGGTGGACTCCATTGAATTAAGTTAGCCTATGTGTCCTGGATGAAAGTCCCAAAACCGCGCGTATACATGGGTGTCGATCTCGCGGATGAAATTTTCGTAAAATGACAAATTGAAGTGTTTGTGTGATAATTGTGTTAATTTGGGAACCACTGAGTTGTAGTCTCAGATGGGTCGTCTGAAAGATAATGAAACTGACTCATGTATTGAGATGAAATGAATTAACTTGAATTGACGAGAAAGAAAAGGGGATTGAGGTGTGAATTTTGGCACTTTATGATTATATAGAAAATGAATGTTTTATCACTGACCTTGTAAATGCACATTTTACTTATACTTTCGTTAAAACTCATATATTGTGTTAGATTGTTCCTATTGGGTTTTGGCTCACCCTATCTGGGAAAAATCATTTTCAGGTGTTGATGATATGCCTACGCCAAGGTAGTAGCTCGGAGGGAGTTTGGGGCACGAGCTTCACTTTTTGTATCTATTTGTATAGCCAAGGGTATAAATTGTATAGAGTTAGACTCTTTTTTGTTGTAACCAAGCAATGACTTGGAAAGATGTAAGCCTTTAGGGCACATAATTATCTGTTTAACTTTCATTCCTCTTTACTACTTGTAACACATGCTGTAGATTCAGGATGAATTATATATGAATGTATATCGCATGTGTCACTTTTGTATAACGATTCAGGTTAATGGAAGCTTATTATTTTGATTATGTTGTCTTATGTATATTGTGTTGGGTCGAATTATTATAATTATTTTGGGGTGTCACATGACTTTTATAAGAGAAAAAATGAAATGATTATGATTTGGATGTGATATTTTGTCTTATTGACTTTTTACCTTATGTTGTCTTTTTGTGACTATTTTAGCCCAGGCTTTTTGTGCCAAACGAAGCCTAAAATGTGTAAAAATATTTTGAAATATATAAATAATGTATCAGATTATAAATTTTTGAAAATTTTATCTGTAAATCTTATATGCGAAAATGTTAATCCATTTAGTCCTAAGAGTTTTCTTATGAATCAATTAGTTATTTTTATTTTAGAAAGTTGTACCTATTTGATTTGGTACCATTTAAGTTTAAGTGCATGCCCTTTTGTGATTTATTTTTTGAATTTTTTGATTGGTTTTTGGGATGAGAATGGAAAAGTGAGGTGTGTAATATTCTTTTTGAGAGGATTGGTGGATGAAGTGTTGGCCGTCGAGCGTGGAAATCTACATTTCTGTTAGTGTGAGTTTTTGGTGTTATATTGAAATGTTACATATGAATGCTACGTTTGAAAAAAGTATGCTAAGAAATTTTTGTGTGTTACATTAATTGGAATATTACGTTTGGAAAAAATACACTAGAGAGTTTTTTTGAAATGTTAGATTGTCACATTTGTAAAAAGTGCACAAAGAAATTTTTTAGTGTTTTACATTGGAGTATTACTGTAGAGACCCTAATTTTTGGTAATTACACATAAAACCCTGAGCCTTAGTTTAATAGCATTTCAGCACCTAGTTTCGTAAAAGTCTGCAAAATGGCCCAATAAAGAATAATTTTCCTGTATATTATCAAAATTAAACTGAGAACACCACCTTATAATTGGAAATACCCTAAAACTTGGTTTTTATTTATTTACCTCTTAGTTTATAAATTAATTCATACATTTTATTTTTATTTTTATTTTTGTTTTTGTTGTTCTTTTATTTATTATTTATTTGAATAGAATATTATTTATTTGATTATGTACATAGGTGTCACAAATAATATTTTGGTGGAAAATTGATTGAAAAACAAAATAAAAAAAATATCTAGATATTTATGCTTCCTTAGTCATTAAGCTAAGACCAAGCTTATTTCCTATAAATTAGGAGCCTTGTCTCAATTCCACACACACACACACATACCAGCAGCCAAGGAGAGGGTGAGAGAAGGAGAGTGTGATTAGAGGGAAGTAGAGAAGAAGAAGAAAAGAAAAAGAAGAAAAGAAAAGGAAGAAAATGGTGCCTTCTAGGGTCAAGGTAAGAACACACCCTTCTGTGTCTTCTCCAATTCTTTCACCCATCTCATCCTATTGTCTAGATACCCTCTTGTGTTGCATATTAATGGTATATAGGGTTTTTGATGTGTATGAAACTGTGGGTTTGATTTAGTGACTTTGCCTTACAAATTTTCCAAATTATGCACTACTGCAACTTCTCTAATTTAAAAGAAATATCAAACCTATTTATTTTTCAAATCTAAATTTAGTGTAGGCTATTTGGTGTGTTTAGAGCTTGTGATAATTTTACTAGCCCCTAATTATGTGTTTTTAGGGCCTGGATATTTTATTTAGAAATCTGGTCCTGAGTCTCTAAAAAACAGTCCCCTTCTTTCAATTTTATAAAATTCCATAAAATTCATCTCATGTTGGTTCTTTTGTCAAAACTTAGAATTCTGAGTCCTCTTTTTAATGGAATTTATTTGGGTGAAAATCATTGGGTAGATTGAGAGGAAAACTAGTTTTCCCAAAGGGTAACAAATCTGGACAGGTTTTTGAATATAGCTTGTAGATGAATTTCTGAAGGTGCTGTGCAAATTCTGAGAATTGGAATTGAAACTAGATAGGTTAATTATTATTTCTGTGCAATTTCAGCCCCTAATTTGACCTAGAAGTATTTTTCCCAAAGCATTCTTGTTAGCCTTGCAGAACTATGCTGGAAATGGTGTTTTATTATGTTATTTGTCTCTAAGTATTTCAAAGCATGCCTAATGTTATTTGCTTGCCTTACCATAGTTCTGTATGCTTATCATGGGCTATATTTCTTCTCTTATGTTTGTCTCATGCTCTTTTATATTACCGAATTACCGAATGTGACTAACTTGCTCGGCAAAAGATCCAATAAACGGGAAATGATAAGGGGTTGGCAATGGGTGACGTTCACATTAGTGTTGGAATAATTTATACATATGAATGGCATGAATTATGATAGGATTAAAACCAAATGAGTTAAGACTTGCGCAAGCGGTCTAAGCGAGCCCCTAGGTTGACACAGATGTATTCAGACTCTATGCAGTGGTTTCAGGGTGTAAGCGAGCCCTTTGGTATAATATGTACAGGGTGTAAGCGAGCCCTAGGCATGATTTGGTATGGTATGTGCAGGGTGTAAGCGAGCCCACTTGTTTGGTTGTCCCTTTTGAGGTCCATCAATGTCCCTGACCGGTAAATAACCAGGAGGTGGGCATAGGTGGTAAGGTCTGCAAAGCAGCAAAAGGGGGAGTTCTGAATAGTCCGGTGTTCAATCCTTGTGGTTGGGTAGAAGGATCTCTTTGGGGGATTCTAGATGTCTAGTCTAACTACTAATTCATAGACCCTTGTTGTAATATTGTATGTTATGTTACCTATTTTGTTCTGTGTATGGTTGATTGGTTGATAGAAGATATGGGGATGCGTGTGTTTTTACTGGGCATTCCAAGCTCATGGCGTGTCATGCCAGGTGATGAAGCAGTTTACAATGGTGAAGGTTATTTCGAAGGCAAACACGATGAAGTGTTGGAGTTGTGGTTCATTTGAAGACTTAAGACTAGTTGTTTTTTTTTTTTTCCTTTTGACTTTTGGTTTGGCAATGTTTTGGTAATCCTGTAATGGAACATAAACGAATTATCTGTGATATTAACTCTGGTTATATATGTATATTAAGCTGTTCTGGTTATCTATCCTACTTGTGTTGTATTATTGTGCGTATTTAACGGCTCAGAAGTTGGGGCGTTACAATTACGTTTGAAAAAAAAAAAAAACACTAAGGAATTTTTTAGAGTTACATTGATTAAAGTGTTGTGTTTAGGAAAATTATTAGGAATGTTACGTTGTTACATTTGAAAAAAATACAATATAGAGTTTTTTAGTGTGTTATGTTTGAAAAAAAATATACTAAAGAATTTTTATGTGTGTTACATTGATTGGAGTGTTACATTTAGAAAAAGTACACAAAGAATTTTTTTTAGAATGTTACATTGTTACGTTTGAGAAAAACATAGTAAGCAATTTGTTGGTGTGTTACATTGAGTGGAGTGTTACGTTTGGAAAAAAAATATACTAAGAAGTTTTTTTTAGGATGCTACATTGTTATGTTTGAGAAAAGTACACTAATAAATTTTTTAGTGTATTACATTTGAATATTATGTTTGAGAAAAATATATTAAAGAGTTTTTGTGAAATATTATGTTATTACGTTTGATAAAAGTACACTAAGAAATTTTACATTGGAGCGTTACGTTTTCAGAATGTTGCATTAAAATATTACGTTTGAGAAAAGTATACTAAGAAGTTTTTTTGAAGTGTAATGTTTAGTAATTTCAATATTATGAGAAAATCTATATTTGTCCCTCAATAAATAATACACGTGCATTTATACTTGATCATTTATGTAATTCACACTAGAATGAGATCTTTAGATCCATAAGAAGAGAAGATCAAACAATTCATAAAATTACTATTTAAAATTTATTAGTGTTTCAATCTAAATTTTTTTATTACTTAGTATTTATTATTGGCAACCTTTAAAATTAGTAAGACCCTTAATATTAATATATTACGAGCATAATTACCCGTACTATGCATGGGTATAAAAAAATAATCAAAAATTAATTTTTAAAATTAAATAATAATTTAAAAAATTTATCTACAATATTTAGCAAACATGATTTAGAATTAATTAAATTTTATTTATTTTTATCACAGTTACATATAAGAGAATTTTTTTTTTTAATTCTTATGTCATTAATTGTGTGTTCTAAGTTGTTAATAACAAATATATGTCATAATTTAAGTGGTAAAAATTAAAAAATAAATCACAAAAATTATATTTATGATAAAATATAAATACATTTCGTCTTATAAGTTTTGTAAATTTAATTTATCATATGATAGTAGTAAATTACATTTGTCAATATAGTATTTTTTTCATGTTTTGTGAAGTCTAAAAATTATAATTTGTCTTATGTTATAAGAATTGCGTAAAAATGAATTAGGATTTACTTGTGATATTAAATTTGGGCTTAACATTGGATTTACGCCAACTTGTCATTCACCTCATCATTAAAAATTATCTTATTTTGTTCCCAACTTATATGAATCATTTACCTATCTATTTATTAAATTAGTAAATAAATATTTGTAAATATTTTTTTATAATAAAAATAAGAAATATGGACTTATTTTATGCATATTTATTAAAAAGTTTTAACTATAGTTAAAAAAAAAACTATACATTTATGTTTAAAACAATTAAATGAATAGTTATATATATTTATGTATAAAAAAATTATTTAAGATAAAGCACCTAAATTGTAGGTCATATTCTAATCCTAATAAATTTAAATTTTATATTTAAATTATATCATAGTTTATCAGTTCGTGACTGATATAAGCTAATTTGAGGGTTCTAATATTAGATTAAATACTAAAAAGTAGTCAAGAAAATTTAGTTCAAGTCATTTTTTTTGCCAATAATTCTTGATTTAAGCCTAGTCTTTAGAGCATCGTCTAGTTCATGTCCAATCCATGAGTTAGTAGACCTAACTATTTATTTAATTTTTAATTAGTAAATATATTTTTTTAAAAAAAATTTATAACAAAAATAGAAAATATGTGCATATTTGTTTGGTATATTTATTAACAATTTCAAAATTAATTAAGAAATTATGTTCTTATTCTTAAAAGGATAAATTACATTGGTAATCCCTATATTTTAACTCTTGTGTTATTTTTATCCTTGCAATTTTAATTTGCTCAATTTTGACCTTAAATTTATAATTTTGTCTCAATTTGATTTAATTGTTATAATTGCTGGTGTTTTTTTTTTTTTTTTTTTTTTTTTTTATTGAAGAACACACATGAGGAAGATCTATAATACTTTATAGACAAAATTATAAACTTGTTCAACTCAATAAGTTAATCTAAACCAACTCAATAACTATTTTCTTTCAAAAATCTTAACCGGCATTATCAATTGGATCAAATTAATACAAAATCTAAAATTAAGAATAAAAATCAAACTAATTGAAATTACAGAGATCAAATTGACACGAGATAAAATGCGGGGGCCATCAATATAATTTATTCTTCTTAAAATATAGCTAATATTGATTGTATCAATATTATGATATATTTATATCTGAAAAACTATTTAAGATCAGATCAGGCTAGAACCTGAATAAAAAATTAATGGCTTATTAAAAATATTTAATAATTATAAATTCAAATTTGATCAATTTTTCATTTAAATTTTTTCATAGAATTAGATTGTTTGATAATTTTAATTTATAGTTCCAGTTTTTCCTTGTATTTTTTTAAAATATTTTAAAATTATATATAATTATAATTTATTTTGAAATTTCCTTTTCAATCTCAAATTAGTTATAACTTGAATTTGGTTAAAATTTATTTTTGACTTCTCCTTTACAAAAACTAACAATAAACATAAATTAAAATTTTGAACATTGTAAAAAGGTAAATAAAAGAATATATTATCAATAATAATAATAACAAAACATATTTTTATTTATCATGTGACGTCTCACCACTACATTGACAATAGATATTAATAATAAAATTCATTACGATAATACAACAATAATAAATCAAATGATAAGTAAAATATGATCACAATAATTTTTTATAGTTATACAAAGTACCCAAAATTATATATAAAAAAAAATATATGATCAATATTCAATTTTTATATGATAAAATTCACGCTTAATCTCAACCACAAATTAGCTTTCTAAATCAATTCATCATCGAAACTATCGACTATTCTTTTAATATTCATCTTTTCAAAGTCTATCCAAACAATGCTTTGGCCGAGCTCATCATCATCATCCTTGTTGTTACCATGCTCACCACCTCCACTAACCATTATGGAATTCCGATCTAGTTTTTTATCTTTGTAAATATGAAAAGGCAATGTTGTGGAAATAAAAAGGTACTGTTAAAGTTTTAAAAAGTTAAAAATGAAAAATAAAAAAATGCATGATTTTAGATTTTCTTATGTCATATAGGGGTGTTGATTTTTTTTTTTAAATTTTAAAATCCATAAATTATAGAATAGTGTTCATTATTTAAAATTTTATTTATTGATAAGCAAGTCAATTAAATGTTTTTAATTTTTTGCAAATAAAAAATTTGAAAATTTTGTTTAAGAAATTTTAAAAATGGCCAAATCATAAAGAACAATATATATGTATATATATATATATATAATAAAAATTCATAACTATATTATCAATTCACATATATCAAAAGAAATAATAACAACAATATAAAAAATACACAAACATCCACCAAAATAAATAAATAAATTCAAATCAACTTCCAAAACAAAGATAGTTAACAAATATATATTTATTATCAATTTAGTTGGAAAAAAATACATTGGAACAAAAAAGTCATATAGAAAAAAAAAAAATACTTACACGAAAATATAAATTTATAAAAAAAAAAAATTCACAAACAAACAAACAAACAAACTTGAAATAAGTTTGGATTATTGGCAAAGAGAGAGAATAACCATTGCATCATTACATTTGGGGAGGAGTTGGCCGGGATGGAAACAAGATTAAATATTGAGTATTTTAAAGAGACAATTGTATTGAATTTTTAATTTGATTGGGTTTTTAAAATTTTAGATTTATATTATTTTCGGAAAAGGTGAGAGTGAGATGAAGGTGACTTATCATATTATTTTGAATTTTGAAATTCAAAATCATAGATAATTAGTGTCTTTATTTTATTTTTATTTGAATTGTTTTGATCAACATTATTTGTGGAAAGAGAGAAGAAAACTTATGATATTGTTTTAAATTTTAAAATTCAAAATTATAGATAATTAGAATTTTTTTATTTTTAAATTTTTGATTTAAGGAATTAACTAATAGATTTTTTTTTTATTTCTTTAAAAATTAACAAATTAAAAAAATTAGTTTAAGAATTTGAAACTTTCATAATCATTATTTTTTAAAAGATCATTTTTCATATATATATATATATAGATGCTGAAAAATTCCTTTCACAGTAGTTTAGTTTATGCATTTTTCTATGGCAGACCATGTGCACATTGGGCTAGACTTAGGCAATAATGAAATTATGAGTGATTTCGGAGTGTCACCGGCTAATATCCATTCACATTGTGCTCATAATTAATAATAAAAGTTTTATAGATGAAATTTAGCCCCTGTTTGATTTTTTTTTAGGTTAAAAAATCACAAAAGGATAAAAAAAATCAAAATAGTTCAAAAGTCAAAAATCACAAAAGAACAAAAAAAATTTACTATTTCAAAGCCAAAAAGTTAAAAAAGCCAAATAAAAAAAAAAAACAAACAAACAAAAAAGTCTCAGGCTAAAAAAATTAAAGAAGTCAAAGAATTAATTAAAAAAGTCATTGCTAAATGACCCTTTGGATTTAAAAGTTAGATTTACTTTTTAAATTTAGTGATATGTTTAAAAAAGATAATGAGTTAATAATTAAATATTTTTTAATTATCAATTAATATCTTCTTCACATAGCCTAGAAAGTAAATTTAGAAAGTGAATTTTTCATATAATTTTTTTTTTACCATTATTAGCTAAGTATGAGACAAAATTACTCACTTGATACATTTTGTAATTTTTCATTGTTCAAGAACATGTAAATAATACAATTTAGGATAAACTGTAGTTAGATTTAATTCTCA